TCCTGTATCCTCATGCCGAATTTGGGCTACCTTGGCTTTCCCACTCAGGGACGACACGTAGGTCCAAAACTTCTTGGCCCCATTGCGTCCGCTCGCTGTGAAAGATTGGAGTTGTCGGCGGTTGTGTTCAGCGATTTTGCTTTGAACTATTGTCTGCATAGCCTGTTTGCAGTTTATGTATACCTGCCATGCTTGGAGGGCGTCACTTGCGGAAAGGGTTTTCACTGCTTTCCTGTGCCAGCGGTTTGCCTCTTTGCGCTCGTCCAAGGCTTTCCGCACTTCTTGATCCCACCATTCTTTTCGTCGCACCCCTCCTCGCGAATTGGAGTGGACTTCGTGTTTGCGCATTAAGCGTCGCAGTTCCTCCACGAACTCTTTATAATTGAGAGGTTTAGAGGTCTGTAGGCTGTTCTCGAACTTCTGAGCAATGTCTTCGTATGCCGCTTGAGGCAGGAATCGTTGCGCAGAATTCCGGCATTCTCACATTTTAGAACCACGCGGAGGAGCAGATTGTTAGGCTGATTTTGTAGTGGTCACTCCCGATGCTGAAGTCCCCCCCTCATCAATGTTGACGTGGTTGACCTGATGTGCCAGTCGGAATGAATGACACAAGTACATAGTGAATACATGTCCTACTGTTTCTGGCACACCATGTAAATTCTTTTTTGCAATCTGGCTGGAGGTTGGCCACTTATAGGTTGTGCCTTCTTGTACACGGCTGCATGAGGTCGCCATTGAAGTCTAGGAATCCATCAATTTCTTGGATGTAGCCAGTGAAGTCTCCCAAAATCAGCACTTCACTCCCCCACCGCTGGATGTCATCACTGATGCACTGCATAGTTCAGACATTACCGTCGTGTTGTCCACTTGTGACCGTGAGATAGTACACACGCTATTGTAGGAATCCCTAAGATTGTTCCACGGATCCACATGTGTTCACTACACTGGCTATACTCTTATTAACCAAAAGCCACAGCACGCCACACGCGAGAAAAATATGCCCAGAGAACCAGATTTAACTCTGCAGAGAACCTCAGGTTGCCTGACCAACCAAGCCATAGCTTTGTACGGACCCAAGCCAAGTTGGGTGAAAATAGCGTTCGCGCTATTTTCACCGAGTCATAGCAGTCACTGCCTTATTTTGACCAGATGAATATAGCCTATCGGCTATTCTCACCAGGTCGCAGCTGCGGCGGCCTAAATTTACAGATGTGAGTCAGGTTGTTGTTCAAAAGTCAGATTTGCTGTGTGATGTGTAGAAGCAATTGACAGACATCAAAATAGTGCATGTTCCAACATAGAAGCTAAGGAATGCTTTAGCGAATGTGAAGGACAATTTGCCAAGCAGAATTTCCTTAGTCTTGTCATAATGGTGACAACCAGTACATCGGTTAGAAAAGAGTTAAACAACACAAACATGATTCCACAAAAGGATATGCGTGGCCTCCACTGCCCTTGCTGAACAGGCGGAATCTACAGACCACCTAATGGACTTGTAAAGCTAGTGTGTTCTGGACAAAAAAAAAAAAAAAAAAAAAAAAAAAAAAAAAAAAAAACTGCATATATTCCTGGGGGGGGGGGGGGGGGGGGGAAGGAGACTTGAGTAATTGCGTCACGGAATGGTGGGGGTATCACGTGAATTCTGCGTAATTGGGTAAGGCGTGGGAATGCTTAATTATCACTCCGTCTTTATTATTCATATTTATTGAATGAAAGAGAAGCATTCCCTAAACAAGTGCTGGGACACTGTCGGGTTGTGCTGGTTGAAGGTACTGTTGCTTCCATCGCATCTACTCGAGTCAAGCGAAAGCCAAGTAAAGACACCCTTTACTGAATGCCGAATGCCTGATTCAGTGCCTACATACAGGAGGAGGTCAGTGAACTGTTGTGCAAAGAGAGCAGTCGGTTTTTACTAGCAGACGCTGCCCACATCGGCCTTGCGAGGCGAGAACGACAATCGGAACGAGATGCGAAGGATGTAGACACCAACGCTGACGCTGGATTTGCGAGTAGGTTCGACAATAAAACGCTCCGCATTTAAAAGAAGCTTGCATCATGCCTGCTCGTGGAATTCAGATACATACGACTGTACATAACGCTGAACAAGAATGATGAGACGTTTCTGACAATGTACTCTCGTTGCATACATCACGCATTTAGGCATACTATTTAAGTACGCTATGCCTTTCTTATGGCTTTTATTTTGAACAAGGCTCCCTCCCGTATATTGGGTACTGAAACGTCAGTAAACTTGGTGCTCTATAGATCGATGTATCCTTTCGCGTTTACACTCAGAAGCAAGAGTTAAGCACTCTTTTTTTTATTCATGGGCCTCCTAGCAGTAGCATCTGATAGAGAGACTTTTTAAGCTTTGATCAATGGTAATGCTTATTTTTGCGATGTTCACCCAGAACTTCTGTCAGGTTCCATGACCTGGCCAGGTTTTTCAGAAATCGCCCGACTTTTCCATGACGTTTCCAAAAGGGTCCGAATTCCCAGACCTTTACAGGTTTTCCAGGTTGGTAGATACCCTACCGTTGCTATGACGACCAACGTAGTCGCCGCAATGCTGGCGTTTGCAGCACATCGACTCCGTTTGCACGCAGAAAAGGCGGTATGCGCTCCAAGCTCTAGTTGCTAACATGCCATAACAGCTTTTGCTGACTAGGAAGTTCATATTTCCCGCGAAGCGTTCATGGCTACAGCAACACATTTTTGTTTTCAGGTTGTGTCATCCCGCCAATAGGTATCCGTTGCGGTCAGCGGACCAATGGTCGCACGGCTTTGTTAGTTTATCTGGTAGATCGGGCCTCGCGAGTGCCCTGACCAAATAAGATTAAGGTTAGTGTGGTTAGGTTATCGTGGTTTATCGAGGCTAGGGTCTGCACGGTTTGATTGATTGATGACTCAAACTGCAGATGGGCAACGTGCGTGGCCTCCATTTCTAGCTGAAATTAGTGAAACTGAGCTAAGCTTGAGGTTGGTCGAGCATTTTGGCGCGATTTCAATGAAATCCAACAAAATTTCATGGTTTTAGCGCAGTGCGGCGCAAAAATGGAGTATTGTATCAAATTGGCGCAGCTGTTGCACCCCTGGCAAACTCAGTGCACACTTGATAAGGACGCGGTCGCATGTTCCATATGAAGCGTGCGCGGCAGGCTATTGGCCGGAGTGTCGGAGAAAAGGTCACTTCGACGCCTAGGCAACCGCCTTTCTTCATCACTCGGTAAGCCTGCTGAGATGGTGCAGCGGTGCCATAGTCATTTTCAAATGAGAATGTATTTTTTAGTCAAGCTTTGCCAGGCATCCGATGTAGTCCGCGCGCCGGCATGTCTTATCTCTCTGCTCTCACTCCCTCTCCCATAGCAACAGCTGGAGCTGCGCGGGCTTATCCTCGCCCCTAGCAACCGAAACATGTGGTGCGAGAGTGTAGGAGAGTGTAGATGCAGTGCTTCGCCACTCCTCTCGCTGTTCGCTCTCACGTCTGCTCGCGCGTTACTCTTTACCGTCCGCTGGCTGAGCGCCTCTCAAGAACATCCGGAAATGTGTGCTCGAGGCGCCACTGTGAAACGCCAACGCCGAGCCGAGAACGCTGGCGCCCCACTCTTCCACCCGCTCGCTCCTCACTCTCAACTGTTAGCTGACTGGGTGCCTGTCAAAGCGATGGCAGAAGTAGTTGGTGAAGGCGAATGTCTGTGGGAAACGGTACTCTCTCTTGGCACAATAAATGCATTCACATTTCCTCACCATTCCTATCGGCAAGGTGGGGGTATTTTTTTTGTTTCGATTTCTTTTCGTTGCTTCGGTTAATGTAAGAGGGCGTCGAATCGCAATCAAGCAAATACAGTACAGAACAGACAAGTTCAGAGTGCGTCTATTACATGTGGAAATATAACAACTGATTTCTCGCAAATAAACTGGTGGTGCACCTGTTATGCGAGCAAACAGGGTATATTGGAAATTACTGCGACTGAGACATTTGTGACCCGCTGTCGTTGCTTCCAAAAAAAAGCAGAGCTTTTCAGAGCATGCTTCAGAGCATGTTTTTGGCGTCCTAACCACTTCCCAGACAAACGCAGTTGTTCTCATATGCCCGTACCTGTACCGCTTCACGTCCTCTCACTTTAGGAACATTTTCTGAAACAACAGTGCTACGTGATCACGAGTGCTTGCCTGCAAGTTGTGTTCCATGAGAAATCCCGTGAATATATATATGCATTCGCGCAAATCGCACTGCCATCTCAGCTCTTTTAGAAGAAACTTCTGATATTGACCTGCCTTTCCGCACACTGAACGTAGTTCTCATGCTTCTGTCAAGCAATGTGCGCCTTTATTTAGGCCTTGCCGTCGAGCAACACGCTTATATTACAGGCGCACATAGTACAGATTCCGTAGTTGTTACCTTTCCGCAAAGTCACACAGCATGGAAACTCAGCTGTGTACTAGTCTAGAAACACTTGCAAGTACTTCTTTACTTTTGACACCATCATTGACCTTCGAACTGAATTCGGGGAAACAATCAAACCCCACAACCACGTAACAAATACAACTGACGTCTAAGCAACTGGCGCAGGCTTAACGTGCGAAATGCGGGAGCCAGGACAGATGCAGAAGTTGTACATTTTCCCTCACCCAGATGCGCAGTGCCTGAAATACCATTAGCGATACTCTTGAGACAGAAGTTTAATGCCGTGTGCTCTTCCGCCGCACCGAAACAGCAGGAGATGCTGCCGTGTAGGCCACAGTTCGGGATATTCGAGATAGCGTTCGTGCAATCAAGAGATTAGGCCCAAATTAGGCAGTATCCCGGACAATTCGGGAGAGCTGGCAGGTATGATACAGTGAAGAGAAATACCTTGAGAACGGAGCGCATAAGCTGCATACACTGCTGCACAACCCCACACACCGACATGGCGGGGAAACATGACGTTAGAAGGCGCTGCAGCGGAAAAAATGGCAGCCTCATTGTGAACTTGGTGTATACAGATACAAAAGCTGCATTAAAAGGTGTACAACAATTTATTTCGATGTTCCAGGTACAATACTAAAATAAAATGCACAGTGGAGGTTGATCACAAAAAGAAGGAATACTTAAGTACAGTGATTATGTTGCACAAATGATAAAGAAACGCATGTGCACATTATGAAACTCAATTATAATTGGTGATGTTGGAGTGCTTGGCTCAGTGAAAATCGGGAAGCAATTTTGACTGAGGAGCACTCACATCATAAATGCTACGACTACTAACAAAACATCTAAAAGTTCCAACTCCATTAAAAGTGTTACGATAACTTGTTCAATGAACATCATTTAAATAGTGCATATCAAAGCCGCACTAAAGATAAGCAGACATAAAAAGAAAGTTTAAGGTACCCTTTGCGAGCACAAGATTGTAGTCTACTATGATTACAATATACTGGGTCATTCCACGCCAACTGTCCCAACCATGACACTCATCAAAAATCAATTTCAATTCAAAATTACACATATGTGTAATTTTGTGAAGCTATTTGTATATGTATGTGGCTATATGAAACCATTGGTGTCAAAAAACATGTCGGAACGTTCACATAGATAGTTTTTCACAGCTTGTTTGGGTGGTTGCAGAAACAAGTTTTGATTAAAGCAAGACATTCAGTCTGGTAACATGCACTGTTTTACAGCTGTTGTGAGATCACATTAGATTTTTATGGTGCACTAGTCTTTGGCCGCCACCTGCACTGTGTGCCACATGCAATAAATGTAACGCGGTTCACTATTGGGAGCATAGTGGCATATATTTCATTCACATTGTTAGGTCTTTTGCACCTTTTTATTATCACCTCGATGTATATTATACAAAATACAGTACTAACAAGTAGACTTTGAACCACGAGTTGTAAATGCACTACCACTCTTTTTGTTGCAGCAAATTCAGTTGGCTTATATTGGCCCCATAGCAAAACAATGCAATGGTGGTACTAAACGTCAAAAATGTTTTTCTCCACTAAAACAAAATCACTTCGATTGAACTTTCTGTGAACAAAGATGATATGATTCTCAATCGTATGCACTTTTCTCCTGTTTTTTTTTTTCTTGGACCACCTTAGGGTGCAACAGACATCTCAGCTTAAACCAAAGTGGCGTTTTTGCTAAGATCAGGATTTTGTTTTAGAGCTTAAACACTACACACCAGCAAAACAAATATATTTGTAAATAGTAGGTTTTATGAAGAGTTGGCTAGAAGTAATTAACGGATCGTATCGATGGTTGTAGTTTGTAGAAATTCTTGAAAACACTACAATTTACTCAGTTTTGTCTACGCTCTAAAGTGTGAAAATTTTCAAGCTATCGTGAGCAAATGTTTTATAATACAAGCATGTTGCTCTATAAATGCAAAAAAGCAAGTATTGAAAGAAGGTGCAAAACGGTCAATTTACAGAAAATGTTTTTTCAAACCTTGTTTTTCACCGTTTCGTGAATTTCGAATGGTGGTCATGGGCGCAAGAAAATTTTGCTTCTCAAAATATCTTGAGAAAATATTTTAGAACCAATGCCTATATAGGTGTAATTTTCTGAAATTATTTGATTGAAATAGTTTTTTGGCGAGCCCCTTGGTTGGGACAGTTGGCATTGAATGACCCTACTATAATGATGGCCTATTGGTGAGCCACAATATTGACGAAGCAGTGCTGAGAAGACACAAGACTCACCCACACACACAAAAACAAATGCTTTCATTACACAAGCAAAGTTCCAGTGTAGTGCTTGTGCTGCTTCAACCACATTTTGTCTGCTATGATATTTGAAAAAGGTCGAAGAACAAGCTACTATGATACAATACCATAAATAAAACATTATTGGCAGTGAAACAAATAATCCTATTGTATATGAAAAAGGACCCTTACCTTCTTAACTACGATATTTCAAGATTGTAAATTACAGTTACAAAGGTTGCACAACAGACTTCATTAAAAACATTATAGTGGTATAGCTGGTATTCCGAAAGAAAACACACTTATTTACCCACACTTCTTTGTAGTTTTATTTATTCTTAGGGAAGAAAACAAAATGCTGAACGAAAGCCTGAATGAGTTAATAAAAAGAAATGTGAAAGAAATATGTGCATGATAAAACAGGACTTGCTGCACATTTCAAACATTGCCAGCCAACTGAACCTATGCTGCTGACCTTGTAACAGCCGTCACTGAACGCATCAGAAGACCCCACCGAAGCAAAGCAGGGTAGCACTAAGCCCTCTGTTTAGAAGAGCGAGCACACTATGTGACAAATTATCGATGCTCGAGTGATCAACTGAATGACTTCTTTCTTGCCAGAAATGTGACAAGAGAAAGCACGATGGCACCAGAACTTAGAGAACCAAACATCCAGCAAATGCTGAAATAGGTAGCCTAATGTAGCAGCAAAACATCACACTCTGCTGAGCACAGCATAACATCTTCCAAAAACAAAAAACTGGGACAGTGCACAGTGAGTGATGAGCTACAATAGAAACCACTGTGCACCCAAAAAGCCACTAAGAGTTCAATGGATAATCAGATTTTTTTTTTTTGCAGCATACCCTGAACTCTGTGTATGTCTAATTTACATCTTGAAGAAAGGGACTTGTATGTACAACATATATTTTGGTGAAATTTGCAAGTTGGCTATTGCTGCTGTAATCGTCTCATCTAAAATTCAACTGCTATAGTGGGCGGTAGGTATGAGAACACAAAGCATGACGAGAAGAAAGCCAACCAGTCACACTGTGCCACTTCCTCTCTCTGGCTCACTCTCATAGAAATATTAAATGTATCACACACAAGAAACATTAAAACTTGCAGCCATTCAGAGGTATATGCTGGCTGCAGTGGCATTCCACAAAAAAACACCCAAAAGAAGTATCCTACTAGACCCCGTTTCTATGAACCCTCCCCCACCTTTTTTCTTTATTGGCATAGCTTCATGTGGTATACATCCAATACTATAAAATGCTGATCAAATTACTCTAGTTGTGCAAGCACACTGAATTTTTTCTTTTCCATTTTTTTTTTTTTTGAGGGGAGTGTCAAGCAAGAGCCCTGCATTATCCTTACACTGAGAGGGGAGGGAGGCAGTTAATTGGTATTTTACAGTAGGCTGCAAGCTGTGCAGTTGCTACGTATGAAACCGTGGGCCCATAATACAAAAGCTGAGGGTATAAAATATGTTGCTCTCACATTAGCAGCTAATGCACAAAGACAAGTAAAGACTCGGTCCGCAACATGTGAGAAAGACAACTAATGCCAGAAACACCCGAGATAGCACATTTGTACCTAGCAATCGCCAGTGTGCATTATTAAAAGAGACTACCATGGAAATTGAAGGAAGTTTGCCCAGGCAGTGCATGTGCCAGCACTGTTTGCTACAAGGCTGTGCATACGATGAGTATTTGACATATGACTGCAGCCCTCTCTCACTGCTGTGAGTCCTGTGCTACAACTGTGGCTACGATGCCAAGGATCCGGCCCAACTCGGCTCGTTTGAGGGATGCAAAGAAGTTGGGGGTCAGGAGCTGGCAGATTTCCTCCTTCGACATCACCACCAAACCTGTCTGCACTGCATCCTCTGAAAAATAACAAAAAAGGCCAATGGCCAGGCATTAATGGGCAGCCATCAATCAGTTGAGAGTCAGGGCTTGTTTGTGTCTTTTCTCTTTGTCCCGTGAGTTTGGGCGCTGTTACTGCCGATGATAATGTATCACCAACTAGCCCGACTATCAGTCCTGCTTCAGCCATCACATCAAAATTTCTTTTTAGTGCATAGGTGATGTTTTTAGGTGTTATGCAGAAAGTGCTTTGCAAAAAGAAATTGTACAAAGTGATTGGCTATTTGTAAGCTTGCATCAATAGAAAATTTTAGGTTCCAAGTGAATTCAGAGCGAATAGTGATTTCACTGAATAATCTCGCATTCTATTCGAATAGTATATACACATATTACAGTATAGACGGCTTATATAGTAAATCGCGCGAGTTTCAAATATCCACACTATAAGCAATACCACACTATAACCAAAGCAACGGTTTTTCAAGGGCTGCACCTGCGCAAAATGTGTTGAGGATGCAGCCTCGCAAGTCGGAAAATCGAACCACACGACGCGTCGTGCTTACAATCACTCGAATTTCCGAATGTAAAAATAAAAATAAAGCGACTAAAAGAAACAAACTAACGTGGTTGCTTGGGCGGGTTGGTACGACATGATTCACATAAAAAACAACACCAATAACGAGGGACAAGAAAAGAAGAAGACAGACAGCGGCACTGACTTACAACAAGATTTGCTGGAACCGCACAATATGTACTTGAGCAGTATCTGACAAAAAAGGGAAAATACAAGTCAAAGAAAACAGCATTCCCCTAACACCCGAGTAATCATCGTGATAACGCGCCATGAACAAAATGTGTACCAACGTTCTGAAGAAAATCTAATTCTTTTTGTGATGACCAAACCATCCAGATTCAACTTTTTACAGATACCTTTTTAAAAAAGATAGATGGTGGGAAAAACCTTAGCATGGAAATTTTCTTTAATGCGAAAACGCGCAAAGTTACCTGTCCTTTTCGTGTTATAGCATCAGAAGCTAACTCGTGGCAAAATATGCTGGCACAATTTCTTCAGGGTAAACTGATGTTATTAAGCATAGACGATCCGTTCCTAGCTAAGAGTTCCGATGATGTGATTTCCGTGCTGAAAGATAAATTTTCTGGGTACCAGGCATGCTCAATAGATATTAAAGATTTGTACTACTCATTGCCCCACAGTGAGCTTCAAGCTTGCATTCGTGGGTGCATTGACAGTTTTGGTGTAGTGAATTATCAGAATGCAGTAGGCATATCTGTTGAAGATTTTATAGAACTGCTAGAGTATTACCTAAGGTCGACATTTGCAGAGTGGGATGATCGTATTTACTTGCAACATCAAGGTGTGTGCATAAGATCATGCCTTGCGCCCATTTTAAGTGATTTCTTTTTAGCCAGCCGTGATCGTGCCATTCAGAATTTCTTGGAATCTACAACTTTTAAGAAAATATTCCGCTTTGTTGCGACTTCCTCGTGTTGTTTCAAGCTGGAACCTCGTCGGTTGTTTCATCCTTGACTAGTATTTTAAAAATTTTCAGTAAGTGCCTTTCTCCGCTTGTTATAACACATGAAGTTCTGGACAGAGGAACCATCAGGTTCCTAGATTTGATGTTAACGTTAAGTCCTTCCCACGTGTGTTGGGCCCATGAGCCACGCGCAAACACACCAATCCTCCCTTTTGGTTCGGCACATTCGAAAGTGGTGAAGCACGCTATTGCGAAGACTTGCTACACAAACGCTCTGCGAAGGTCCTGCCTTCACATGATTTGGTCCAGATTTAATCAGCAAACTAAACGCCTCACAGGGGCTGGTTTCCCGATGTACGTTTTGACCGCCATTGCTGAGTGTCTACTTTGAGAAATCAGAATGAGCCCAGAGATTAATGCTCGAACCCGTACAAAGCATAAGGGAAGGGAGAAACGAAGCTTTATCGTTATTCCTTATATCCACGGCGTCACCCACAACCTCAAAAAAGTGGCCAGTAGGCGCGACGTACACCTGATTTTTTCTGCCCCAGAAAAGCTGGCTAGGTTGTGCAAGGCCGTGAATCCTGGTTCCAGGGGAGAGCGAGGCTGCAAAATCAAGCATTGGAAGAAGTACCTTCCATGCATCGAAGGGGTGGTACACACCCTACCTCTGTCCTTCGGCAAGTGGTACATCGGCCAAACAGGCAGGTGCTTAAATGAGCGGCTGAAAGAGCACGCTCACAACGCCTCTTCTACAGTATCAGTCCACCTCGGCATTCATTGCCGAGACTGCGGTTGTGTCCCCGACTTTCAGCATTTTACTGTCATTAGGCGTCATCGGGACCAGTTGATACGCGAAATTTATGAGGCTGCAGAAATAGAAAGGCTGGGCAGTGCGTGTGTCAGCAGGCCTTCGATTGCTCTATCACAAAAAGAATTAGATTTTCTTCAGAAGGTTGGCACACATTTTGTTCATGGCGCGTTATCACGATGATTACACGGGTGTTAGGTGAATGCTGTTTTTTATTTGTATTTTCTCTTTTTTGTCAGATACTGCTAAAGTATATATTGTGCGGTTCCAGCAAATAAATCTTGCTGTAAGTCAGTGGCGCTGTCTGTCTCCTTCTTTTCTTGTCATTCGTTATTGGCGCTGTTTTTTATGTGAATAAAAGAAACAAGTCGCTAACGAAATAGACGAGAAAGGGGGGGGTCTAACAAAAGAAATCAACATCATGGAAATTCGCCGACTATTTCTCAGGCTGCTTCTCAGGCTGCTTTGTGCACAATGCAGAAACTATGTCCTGACTGTGACTCTGCTGCAACAAAATTGATTTTCTAGTTCGTAATGCAATATTTTTGCTAACCGTGTTTTTGTCATATAAATGCTTCGACAGCAGCAATCGTTGGCCTGGAGAGCGGTCACATTTTGACACGACAGCAATAAAAAGCGTCTTTCGCGGAAATTTTGGTGTCCATGTCGGCATCTTTGGATTGGAACAAAGAAGCGACATTGTATGTGAGAGAAAAGTTTAGGTGTTTGCCATAAGGGTACCAGCTCTAGAATAAAGACGTCTTAGCTATTGGGAAATGATAGTCTGCGTGCGATAGTCAGCGCAAAATGATGAAATTCGATTAGAACGCAAATATCGTATATTTACTTAAAGGGCCACTCACCAGGCCCCATACCAAATTTTAGTTAGACAGTGGAAGTTGTTGTGTGTCCGTTGAGGAGCATTTTGCCACAAAACTTTTTTGAATCGGTTCATCACGAGCGGAGAAAACCGGTTTTTCGAAGCGGCGCGAAACGAGGATGAGAGGAGGCGAGCTCGAAACCCTTGCCGCTCTTCTGCGAAGCATTCGCAAGCAAAATCTCTTCCCCACCCTCTCAAGCATCTGATGAAGAGGTCATGTGCGCATGACGTGCCCAAACAAGTCCAACCCACGAGCACATAAGCAGCATTGCTTTGTTGACCAGCGTTATTTTGTGGTCTTATGCCTGTTTCTGTGGGATGGTTTGGAAACGCTGGATTAGACGCGGTAGAATAGATGAGCACATTGAGTGTGCGTACGCGTAGGAGCGTTCCACGGCGGTCGTCTGCTCGATTCGCTGACCGCAGGTACACGAATGCATGCAAAACGCCGACACATTAGCCCCGCATTTCGTTGCAATTCATGGGAGAAAAATAGAAAAAAGATGGCCACATGCCCTTATTGCATGTGAATATTTATCTGTAGCTTTATTATTCTCTTCAAGCAACAAATTACATAAACTATGCATGCCGTGTTAAATAATTTTCGCCATGTCACGTGCCACTGTTTGCAACGTCAGAGCAGAGTCATCTACGTAGAGGACCAATGTCACTGCATAGCCGTGTACGTAGGGTCATTCATACGCGCACGTCATGCCCTCATTCTCTGGGCACGCGCCGGCAGAAGGGAGGAGGAGCAGCGTTCATCTTGAAATTTGAGCCATTTTTGCGGCGTGTAGTGTTGCGAATATTGGCAGACGTGATCATGAACAGTTGTCTATGCATTGCGCTTGTCAGCTCAAAATTGTCAAACCTGGTGAGTGGCCCTTTAAAACGTGTGATGAAGGAATCGTTAAAAAGAACAAAAAAAAAAAGAGAGGTCTGGAGTGTGGCTTCACTCCAAAAATGCTATAGCTTAGGGTTGCTATTGGTAAGAGCGGACAGTCCCCCTACGCCACATTTCCGTGTTACGCAGCAATAAAGAGCTGTTCTGTTAACTAAGATTGTTGCCTTATTCGTTTGAACCCGTTGTAGCTATGAGTACTCGAGTTATGAGAAGGGGACATCAATTGTGCATGATACGACTGTGTGCAGCTGGAACCGTAACTATTCTTCTGCACCAGCTGCGCATAGGGCAGACCCCTTCAACTAAGAGCATATAAGACTGTATAAAAAGTTCACTTAGACCTCCCTAACAATAAAACAACAGGCTCAAAATAAAGCAAGATTTATTCGCAGACTCTAAAGCCAATGTCTCAAGGTTCTTCGCATGGAGACCCTTGACGTAATCAAGAAGTGCCACCTCAAACTACGGGTATGTCCCAGTCTTGGGCCCACGGAAGAACCAACACGTTTCGTAAGTAGCTTTCTGCTGCTTGTGCTGCCTCCACCAGTAGAAAACTCGCCGACTCTGGAGTGCCTCCCGGTGACTTTGTTGCCATTGTTTTGCGCACGATCAATCACTTTCAGCTTGACAACACTTGTGTAGCTTCAGTATTAACCCATCGTGTAACCATCGAGTGAATACAACAACGTATGCTGTATAGACTAGCACCAACACGGCACAACGCAAAATTGCCACTTTTGCTTGGGTTGCATCAGATTGGGGCTCGGTGCATTGATAGAATGCATTATGCTTACGAAATGGCTCTAGGCTGTTGTGCGTTATCATCATCAGTGGTTGGAAGAAAATAACATTACTGCTAAGGTGACTAGAATTGGGAGGTGTGAAAGCCGGCCACTCCAAGCTGGCCCCCCTTCGCGATACTGCAGCATTAGAGGCGCTGCCAGCTTGCTTGGTGCGCCGGTACTGCACTTGCGCATTGGTGTCGGCAAGATGTTTCTGTGTTTGGGGAGGGGGAAAAGGGGGTAAAGCCGTGCTGCATCGCGGCTGGGCGAGGGTGGAACCACTGGTGCAACACCCTGTTGGCGTGTGTGGCCTGAGGGCGAAGGGGCGGGGCCAAGCATGTGCCCCTTATACACTGCTCCTCCCCTTCTGCCTAAGCTCATGCACTTGTGTCGGTCATTGCTCTACCGCTGATAGAGTTTTACCAATGGTATAAGCAAGTTTATGAATTCACAAGCTACTTATGCCGCACTGAAGTATGATTAATGGCATTATTAACCATTCGGCAGTTAACAAGTCAGACAGCCAGACATAAATAGAGCGTCAATTAATGCGGGCTTGGCAGTGCATACAGAACAGTCGGAAAAACATTGTTGGTCTTGTCGCTTCTATGTCCCATGCTAGCGCTACATTTCTGAAAAATCAGACATAGCTTGAACCGGTCATAATGCAACCATTCTTCAATCAAGTCTTGTTCCAAATGAGCAATTGTTTACATGTTTGGTGTAGGCAAAATGATCATCATTTTTATATTTTTCCATATAATTACAATAAAAAAGAAAGCTTCTTCAAGCAGGACATCATATGATTCTGAAAGTTTTCTAGCATTCCAGGATTGTCACTCGATAACCTTTGATAAGTTGTATTGTCTTTATACAGGAAGGCTGCAGTCGACTAATTTGTTCCTTGCTTTTCATTTATTAAAGGCTGAGCTTGCATTACGCTTGAGGTCGTGCCATCACAGAGTCAGAAGGCATGTTCACAAATTCGTATGAAAATTGAGATAGCAATCAGTTTCCTGGCTTCAACCAAATTTAATTAGCATGGTATTATAATAAAGTACACTGTTGGATGCTTTTTTTTTACTTATGCCCGAGTTAAATTCCCATCAACTAAAAATGATCACTCGATCGTGATGTAAACAAACTTGACCACAGATTTTGCCAATTGCTGAAGTGTTTGATGCAGGCAATATCTGCAACGCATTGCTTAGAGAGCTATAATAAGCAGCCAACTATTTTTGAAACCGCGCAAAACGCCGATGGAGCTAACAAGCTCCCGTCACAGCGGCTTACACTACTGTCTCCCCAATGTTAGCTGGCAGCGCCTCAGACTGTCACATTATGTTCTGGCTTAGTGGTGATGTCGCGCAAGGTGGCGCTTCTGGGCAAGGGAAACATGACCCACTTTTGACACCTCCCCATGCTAGCCATTGTATTACTGCTACAATTTTAGGGGGTGCCATAATTATTCGTGAAAAAAAATATAGTATTTTTCTTGGGCTATTGGGAGGGTGCGAAAAACATGCGAAAGCGAGGATTATGCGAGTAAATGGGGTGTACGTTTATTTGTTCACTTTGAATACTTTGCAATGTCCAATAATTTAAATTCCTGTTAGAGTGAATTTGAATACTACAATATTCATTAGAATATTCAAAAGCTCGAGTATCCACACAAGCCTAGTTGTTTGACGTGTTGGAAGAAATCAAGCTTGAGGAGGCGAGCTTCGCTTTTAAACCAAACACTCCATCCACTGGCTCTGGTTTAAATGCCAAAGGCCAAGAAGCATGATGAGCATGCTTTGTATGGAAGAGCATGCATGTAGTCCAAGCAAGCTCAGAAAGTGGGCAGCATTGATGTGCCCCTAAAGTTCTGTGATCTGTCCTTAGGTGAACAATTGTTTATATACAAAGGACACATCATGGTTTTCTGTTAAAGGGCCACTAACCAGGCCTGACAATTTTAAGCTGACAAGCGCAATGCGTAGATGAGGCATTCACGATTACGCATGCCAAAATTTTCAACACTATGCGCTGCGAAAAGGGCCAAATTTCATTCCAAGATGAACGCTGCACCCCCTTCTTTTCGCAGGCGCAAGCCTAGAGAATGAGGGCATGACGTGCGCATATGAATGGTCCTACGTATACAGCAATGCAGCGACGACGGTCCTCTACGTATATGACTATGCTCTGACGTTGCCAACAATTGCACATGACATGGCAAAAATTATTTATCACGACATGAGTAGTTTATGTATTTGTTGCTTGAAGAGAATAATAAATATCTAGATAAATAATGAGATGCAATAAGGGAATGTCAGCGTTCTCTCTTATTTATTTATTTTTTTTCATTTCCTCCCGTGAATTGAAACGAGATGCAGGGCTGATGCGCCGGCGTTTTGCAGGCGTTCGTGTCCCCGCGGTCAGCGTGTTGACCCCGTTGAGTGCGCGAACGCGTAGGAGCATTTGCGCACTTATTGTGTTCATATATTCTACGAAGCCTAAGCCAGCGTCTCATAACTATCCTGCAAGAACAGCAGTAGACCTCAGAGCAACGCTGATAAAAATGTATCACTAATAAAATATCGCTGCTAATAAAAAAAAAAAAGCCGCTCGCATGCACGGGGATTGGGCTTGTTCGGGCACATCGTGTGCACGTGACCTCTTGGTTGAATGGAGGAGAGGGTAGGGAAGAGATTTGGCTTGCGAAGGCAACGCGGAAGAGCGGCAAGGGTTTTGAGCTCGCCTCCTCTTATCCTGGTTTCGCGCCCCTTCAAAAAAACTGTTTTCTAACCTTGTAATGAACCGATTAAAAAAAGTTTTGTGGCAAAATGCTCCTCAACGGACACACAACAACTTCCAATGTCAAACTAAAATTTGGTATGGGGCCCGGTGAGTGGCTCTTTAACCAACACCCCCGTGATGACTAGTGCTCCTTGTCATAGAGTAAACTTAGGACACATTACGCCATGCCTTAGTAACCATATATTTCCTACAGTTGCCATTACTCATGAAACAACAAAAACATTGCACAATACCAAACTTGTTTGTTGTCTAGGTCAATGCTTCCCCTTCCATGTGAAAGTGCAAACTTTGGAGCAACAACTTGACCGAAGAAAACACAATTTTATAAATTTCCCAATCTAATGAAGAAATTTCCATTTCCTGGCAGGTACCCTTTGGGTACGGTGTCGTCTTCAACTTGAAATAATGACGTTTTTGTGGCTTCAATAAAGCTCGATTTAATGAAGTCTTTTCATAACTGCGGGTGCAGGGTTTGCATTCTAATTTTCCCACAGATGGTTTTTTTTTTTTTTGGGGGGGACGGTGACGTTATCGCATTAAAGCAACTTGCCAACCTAGTCACGGCACTAGCTTTATTTCGACGAAGCTGCTCACCACAGTCGGTAGCGCTTTCACTTATTATGCTACAGCGATTTGTTATCCCTGAAATAACTCCTCAGAAACAGTGCACTTGTTCTGGCTATTAAATGGCTTTTGTCACAGATGGCAAAGAGATTGAAATTTTTTTCATCTGCCTGCTCTCGCAAATTGACTGCACTGATTCTGCGTCCTTCAATATACGCAGCTTGTCGTAGCTTCACGTGGCTACCCACCTCGCCTAAATCGCTCATACATAGGATAGATTCATGCTAGGGCTGCCCTCGCAGGCCTTTCAGACATGGAGGCGTGTATTAGTGGCAAATAAATTGGCGTGGTAGCTTTTAGGCAGTGCTACATTACAATTGTAGATTTCTAAGGACCAGGAAATTCCTTCCTCAATATTACAAACCCGCCAACTTAATAAAATCAGTGAAGTGCTCATATTTGCAAGGTGTTTCAGCGCACGAACAAAGGAAAAAAGGACAGAGTAGACAGAAAGAGTGCTGTTGCAAGGTGTTTCAGCGCACGAACAAAGGAAAAAAGGACAGGGTAGACAGAAAGAGCGCTCTTTCTGTCTACCCTGTCCTTTTTTCTTTGTTCGTGCGCTGAAACACCTTGCAAATATGACTACGCACCAACTAGCCCAAGCTTCCACTCTTGTCAGTGAAGTGCTCTCATCCCATCTTAATGGCAATCAAGTTCCGTATAATGTCGAAATTGATATTATCCCGGCACTAGTTGTGCGTTCAATGAGCTAGTAAAAGTGCATACATTAAAGGTATTCCGATTCATAGTGAAAGCATGTGAGCACTATGCTAACGGCACACTGAGAGAGTGCTCATAGTATACAAGTGGGGCGCTTCTGGCACATACTGACTTTTCCAGCTCTTCTTTGGTCTTCTGAGAGAATGTCATGAAATATATTCACCTGTTACCAGTGGGCAACATTGCACTTCTCTGCTGGCAGTGGTCTGTGCATCCTCGTCAGTCTGTGTTGTGGCATCTTGCAAACTCATGGGAACTGCCAATTCTTTTGGCTCAGATGACAAGGAACAAATAATCTCAGTTTCACCATCAATTGTGGCTGCTGGATTGTCTTCCTGAAAGATAATACACACAGAGCAAGATTTTCAATACTCTGCCGAGAGAATAACTAGTATTATCCCATTTGGGATTCAGAATTTTCTTACATTGGAATGAACCCAGACACATAGTCAAACCTCAGTGGAGCAAACTTCGGTAAAATGAAACTTTAAGCAGAGTGAATTCTCGTATGATCTCAGTTAAGACGAATTTTTGCATGCGCCAGAATAGAAGAAAATGTTTGGTTTCTTATAGACCAAATGCAAAAAATCGTTATCAGAGCAACTGCCGCGACAGAGAAAGAAAAAAGGAGGGAGGACGGACAGACTTATCAATTTTCGAAATTCTGGCATCTTGCTGGCAACCAGAGGTCAGCCAGCTAGTTCCGGTTCTGACAGAAAATAAATCGTGTTTGCGTGGATTGAAATCCCAAGACGACCGGGCTACCAAATAATGGGAAAACCCCCATTAATGTAAAATAACGGCATTTTGCGTGGCGTGAGGATCGGTTCTTTCTGCATTGGTGCTTCGAAATATGGGTTTAGGTTTGCCGAAGAGCTGCAATGATATTCTCGATGATATGCTTTTGGAATATGATCGCATATGTTGGCAAGTTTATGCGTGACTCACCCCATCCGCAAAGAAAACTGCTGTCCCACTAATGGCTTAAAAAGCTTAACCCTGTGCAGTGCACGTAACATAGGTCAGCAAGCTCACTCAGATCGACCTGCTAGTCCAAAGTAAAAAATGTATTTCTAGAGTGCATTCTATTTTTAGTTGCTATCTAATCATCTCAAGCATGACTTACCCGGATTCTGGTTGATACTAACGTCTACTCACATGTACCGTTAAACCTGGATATAATGAAATTGATAAATTCCCAGAAAAATTCGTTATAAAGAGGATTTCATTCGGTACGGAACAAAAATTAAGAAAATAAATGCGTAAATTAAACAAACGGGTGACTGAAGGTAGAGCTAACCCAAAGCACTTCTTTTACAGTAAAAACCTGCGTTATTATTGTGATAGCAATTATATGGACACCCTTGGCAGGCTTATGTCGTCGCTGCCATATTCCGTAACAAATCCGAATTGATGACATGCCGCTGAGCATCGTAACTTTCACGAGTAGGTTAAAGCGCGCGAGCGTTGCTGTAGCAGAGAGCGAATGAGTCAGCACATCCCTATTGCTGGAAAGTGCATAAGATAACATCTCCTGAGTGTTAGAACTGCTGTTGAATGCTCAAGCAGAAAATGAACCACCCGTTTTGAAACGAGGGGAGGGGGGGGAGAAATCGCTCGAGTAGCAATAATGAACTAGGATTTTAGGAGTGGTCGCGATCGCTGGCGCGCTTGCTATCTCGGCGAGTATCAGTGCGGTTTCAATGTGAAGGGACTGTGGGAGAAGAGCATTTCTCCGTGAAGCGGCAATATTTGCTTACACCAGTGTTTTGCAGGATTTCCGCGATATCGGATCCAAAAGAGCTGGCTGCCATCCTTTCCTCTTATATCATTACAATTTTTTCTATATTGTTCAATGCATTGCATTCAATGTGCCGTTGTGTCGCCGGAAATAATCGTGTAATCGCAAAAGCTACCAGCCTGCGAACTCGCGACGCAGGATGGGAGCGCGTGACGTGTTGAGCTCCGAAGATTCGTCGTCCCCACGGTCTGCGAGTTTCCATCAGCGCCTAATCAAACATCACCTCAGTGGTGATGGTACTCTTGCCCGAAATCAAGAAAAGGCACAGTTTCGCCGCAAGGGCGAAGCAATGAATGCGATAGCAACAACTTGGAATGTAACGCTGAGAACGGCAAGCAGATCGAAACGTGCAGCACACTTCTCACGCACAAATGACGCACGAAAACAACATACACAGGACAAAAGCGAACTAACAATGTTCACCGCTCGACAGTTGACACGCTGTTTAAACAAGAACGAGGCACGGAACGTAATCACAGGTACAGATATGAGTGTGAACTAGCAAGTGCCCCATTTGTTTACTTCGCTGAGATTGAAAAGTGCACTGTTTTCACAAACGGCGCCTGTCCTGCGAGCAAAGTGATCTTTGTGCGTGATGCTCTCCCCCGGAGGATAAGCGCGCACACAAGCATGTACCTCCCCTCCCTACCACCTCCCATTCATGCGGCAAAGTATGCGAGGGAGATAAGCGCACATAGGCGCCTCGTGACGAGTTGGGCGCCGAGCGTGGGTGGCCTTTTTTTTTCTTTCTTGAGCTTTCATATATACAGATAAGTATACATATGCGGTGCATGGAGGCGGCGACAGCAAAAAAACAGCCGAGACTGTTCATATAATTGATATCATAATACAAAAAAAAAAAAAGTAAAGCTGAACGTTGTCAGGGGCCACACAATGCATGTGTGCGCGGCGTCGAAAACGAAAAGCGAACGACGCAGATACCGCAGAAAACTACTTGGTAAAGCGCACTCCATATGCAGCACGGCCCACGTATGTGACGCTAACTACTAAAAGCGTGGCACTGCCAACGCACAAAAGTTTTTTTGTTTTGTTTGTTTGGAGTGAGGGGAGGGGGCACACCGCGCATGCGCCACCAACAGCGAGAATGGTGGCAACGCCGGCTCGTGGAGTGAAGGCCCGCCTGCCCACCTCGCGCTCACCTGCGCGCAATAACAAGCGCTCGCTCTAGCCTGATGTGCCGTATGCGCCGCCGCTGCCGCTTCGCGCTTCGTCGACGGCAGGTGGCGCAGTCGCGGAAGATGCATGCTTGCACCAAAATGCCGATATTCGGAGCAAAATTTCTAGATTGTCCGTGGGGGAAAATTCATTTAATCAAGGTTGTCTCCCGCTGTTACCGTGTTACATAAAGGTCGCAAATACATGTGCTTCTATGGAGCAACGGCGGGGAATAGAAAAACTTCGTTGCATCGAAGAATTCGTAAGATGCAGGTTCGTTGTAAGCAGGTTTAACTGTATAGCAAATTAGTATCCTCCATACACCATTTCAATATTTATTGATCAGAGGCGTGAAGAGTGCCTTGACCTCCCCCCCCCCCCCCCCCGCCAACTTTTCCAGGAATGTATATGATAAATACAGCTCATGTTGTCATATTGTTATGTGAGTAATGAGTCAATATATTGCAAATATATTTACAAAATATATTTGCAAGAGCGGTGGCAGCGCTGGCCAGTCTGGCTCCGAGCTTGAGCAGCAAGCGGCCTTCATCATCTCTGCCGAGCGCACACGCGCATTGACAATATCTATTGAGGCAGCCTACATGTAGCAGAACCCCCGTCGGCAACGGCGCATCTAGACGTCAATATCATTGGGCGAGTGGTACTGCTTCAGGCGTGTGACGTGTACGATGTTGCTGGCTTGAGAGGTGGATGAAGACTACGAAGCAGCAGGAGTGATTTCATAAGTGACGGGAGTCACCGCACAATGCACTTTGTATAGCCCCGTGTACCGAGAGAGCAGTTTGTCACACAGGCCAATGTGCCTAATTGGAGACCACAGCAGAGCCAACAAACCGGGCGAAAAGTGCCCATCGTGGTGTCATTGATCATACTGACGCCGTTGGTTTTTTTTGGGAGGTCAAAAAATGAGCACGGGTGGCTTCGCGTGTGTGGGCAGTCCGGCTAATGGCATCCAGAGCATATTCTGAGGATGGAGCTGCTGGCAACGGAATGATTGTATCGAGGGGCAATGTGGGTTCGCAGCCGAGCAACAGGAAAAATGGGGAGTAACCAGCCGTGTCAAGGCATGAAGAACTGTATGCAAATGTCACGTGTGGTAGAGCGAGGTCCCAGTCAGCTTGATGATGATGATGATGATATATGGTGTTTTTTTGGCGCAAGGGCCATTTGATGGCCAAAGAGCGCCAGTTCATGGGACAAAGAATGTGGACAATGATTGTGATTAGCGGCTGTATAAGAGCCATAAAATTCCTCGCGGTAAGGCGGGTAAAAACATACAAGTAATAAAATCATGACCATGCCGTGAAAGGTGTGTGTGGTGCGAATGGATGACAAAAGTTGGTGATAATAAAAACGATGGTGGACATGTATGGCATTAGCACAAGTGCCTCACTCGTTCAAACCCTTGCGTCCAAGGGCCGTGAGGCAAGTGCTTTGTTGTGTAGCCACCGCAGCGAAAACCTCTCTTGAGAGGTCGTGCTACGGAATGCCCGGGTATATGATATGAAAATAATGAATTTCTTTTAAAAACGCTAACAATGATTCATAACTAAAAAGCGGTTCCCTACCAACGAACATTGCAGGGTGTAAAGGTATATGTTGTCGGTAGGGTAATGGAAAATGCTGTTTTCTTAGAGTTTCTAAGTGTTTGCACTGAATTAACATGTGAAGGACTGTTAATGCTTCACCACATCTGTCACACAATGGTAGATTGCCACCGGACAAAAGATATGTGTGTGTCGTGTATGTGTGTCCTATCCTGAGTCTCGTTAGTATTACCTCTGTATGACGCGATTTTGATACTGGCAGCCAATGACCAAGGTGTGGCTTATTAATGTGTAGTTTGTTTTGTGTGTGTGTATCCCACTTGCTCTGCCAGTAGTCCCTGAGGTTTCGTTTGAGAGACGGCTTAAGATCAAGGGCCGGGATTAATATGGCCGTAGGGGCAGTGCTTTTGTGGACGGATGCAGCGAGCTGATCCGCCCTCACGTTGCCTTGGATCTCACGGTGCCCTGGCACCCAGCACACTATAACATGTTGTTTGAGTGTGTAGAGTGTGCACAAAATGGAGTAAACTGAGACAAGGACCAGGTTTTTTTGTTTTTTAAGACTGTGCAGAACCTGTTACCACACTGAGGGAGTCTGTATAAATTGCTGCTTTTTGTATTTGTAATTGTTTGATGTGTTTAGCTGCCACAAGTATTGCGTAAGCTTCCGCTGTGAAGATACTTGTGCCTGGATGTAGAGGGCCAGCATCCGAAAAGGATGGGCCCACAGCAGCGTAGGACACAGAGCAGTTGGACTTGGAGGCATCTGTAAAGAACTCAGGACGTGTGT